AAGTACGAAGGGGGAAAACTCGTATCGTGGGATAAAGTTGTCCAGATGGAATCATCTGCGATTTGAAGAATCCGGCGCCTTTCGCGACGAAAGACTAACCGTGGGCATCGACGTCACGGTCGAGGCACGTGGCGGTAATCTCCGAGGATAACCCGCGTGTCAATGGTACAACCGACCCAAAAACGCAAACGTCCTTCTCCACGCTCATCGAAAGCCGCTTGTCACTTTCCTACCGTCATGGAATACACGTTACGGAGAACAAGTAGGCACATCGCGAGCGGATTTTATTGACGTCCCCCTGAATTCTTCTCCGGCTTTTCCACCGGCTTTATAATGCAAAACGTCGGATTCTCGGCGCACTCATATCGCGGTCTTCCTCGTCGTAGCTTCCGACAGCCGCTATACCGGGAGGCAGCCTCATAATGTTCACATGACGGGAACTAGAGGAAAACGCCGCAGGTGCTTATGCACATCGCGGCGCTGCCTTTCCGAATAACGTGAATTAATAAAAGATGCGTCAATCCGCGAGGACGCTTAACGTGGCATTGCGAGAAATATATTATTTTTCAACTGAAGTTTATTGGCATGTAATACCCGCGATCGTTGTACGGTGTAATGAAGGATACTATTTCATTGTCAGAAACGCTCGCTACATATACGTGGCGAAGATAGAAAATTTTAGAAAGTCCATTTTGCAACATTCACCGTATTCTGTCGGGACATCATTGTAAAAATGATTAATAAATATCTGAAGAATTGTTACGTAAAAGATATGATCTATATAATATAATTTTTATTACCACATAAAAACACGTAATAAGCGCGCTGCATGTCTATTAAACATTACCATCGACTTTTCGTCATCGGTAAACTTTTTCAAACAAATATGAAATTGATATTTCGAACATGTAAAAATCTCTGGTATCTCATTTCCGACCAGTACGACAGGCAAATAACGCCGGCACAATCTAGCAGATGAAAGTTCGATTTTCTCCCGTGATACGTCTACATAAATAATGTGTAAAATCGTGAAACTTTTCAAATTACGAGATCAGTGTACACGGCGTTCGTGTCGGCTAGCAGACAGCTAATGCGTAATTTATTAAGACTAGAACAATGCATTGCGCGCGCCATTTAGCATTATCGTTTTCTTTTTATATTCATATATATTTCATTTTTTGCTTTTATTAAAACTTACTGTCAGATATGCATTATCATTCTCGCTCATTCTAACACATTCTCTTTAAATAAATTTCAAAATCTCGATTATTCACAATTATTCTGTTTCAGTTTTATTTCCTGTTAATTGCCATTTATTAATTGGTCTCCTTTTTTGTTTAATCAATTTTTTTATTATGGTATAAATGTATATTATATAATATGGAATAAATTGTTAAATTAAACCACCTTAGCCAGATTAAGGTCGTCAAACAATTTTTCTTCCTGTTTTTAATCAATTACTGGCGACAATAATATTCTTCTTGTTTTTTATATGTGACTCATTTATTATTTTTAAAATGAGTAGCGTTAGTACCAAGGTCGATGCATTATGTTTGATAAGAAAACAATTTTCTTCCAAATTACGGATATTAAACATAATTTTTTTTACAATGGCACGATACGCATCAATAATGTCCTTGTTTACAAAGTCTCTTAAGTGCTTAAGTCTCTTTTAAAGTGTTTTTTAAGTAGTTCAGACTATTTTAAATAATTTCGAATTTTTATTATAATACATTTTTCCGGCAAATAAAGATCTTCAGTAGCATTTATATATTTGATAAGACTATAATTTTTACAATTTTCTTACAAATTACAAGTATTAAATATAAAATGTTTTTTTAAATAAAACAACACAAAATGATAACGTATTTGTCACAGTTTGTATTCCCTTAAAGTGTTTTTAGGAGACTCAATTTTAAAAAGTAACCCAATTCTACGCGAATAAAT